GTCTACTTATGAACTGTAGAATTCTGAGAAGAAATCTTGCCTGCAGCTATCATTGACATTGCCTTCACATGGAAACTGCGGAACACTATGGATTCATTGGAAAGAACTAGACATTGGTTGAACCTGGCGGTTGCTGCAATGTGGACGATAATTCTTCCTACATGTTATGCTAAGTCAAGAAAAAAATATACTTGTTATTCCATGCAAAGTGGGAGCTGGCTTAAAGAATTGTGCTTTTCGCCATACATGATTGCTGTTGGAATATATATGATGTCTAATGCTGTCCAGATGGTGTTGTTCTTTGTTCCTGCTGTTAGAAATTATATCGAAGTCTCAAACTGCCGTATATGCACAATACTATCCTGGTGGACAAAGGTAGGGTTTTAGCTTAGTAACTGGTTGTTCTTAGTACATTTTCTATTCATGCTTAGGAATTGTTGCATCGGATCTAGTCATGCGCTGGTGCAGTCACATAATTTATGGCATCACTGGATCCAATTGTTTCAATTTGTTGCAGTTGACAAGGGAACTAGTGGTGTCTTGATATTTGGTAGATACCGATAACGTGTAAGTTAATAATTAGATTATGGACCTTGCCTTAGAGAAATTTCCCAACAAAAAAGGTAATTCAGGATGCAGATTTATGGTTTTCTTTCACTGAGGTACTTCTCGATTCCTAAGACCTCTCATCAAAGCCATTTTGTATCCAGCAGCATAAATAGCTTATTCTTGACTGCATTTAAAGGGATCATGAATGATAACATCATATGTTGTCAAATTACAAGAATTGATTCTTTTTGACTTCTCATTCTCTTGTTACTTTTGAGTTTACCTTGAAAACTGTGACTCAAATGAACCACCAGAAAATTCATACGGGTAATTGTAGTGATCGGTAACTGAGTTCCTGTTGAAATCTCTCTCAAAGAACTTTATTGCCATGATTTTCCGAGTAGTGATGGTTTTGCCATCTGAAATTTTGTTCCTTCTCATACAATCCTCATGTGTACCATCCAAATGTTTATCCATCTTAACACTAGATGTAGTATAGTGAAAACACTGAGTCCACTAATTCAGATATTTGCAGGACTCAAGATTAGCCTCAATTTCCTCTTTGCTGTGGCAGTGATCATTCACGTTTATCATCTGACTCTATACAACATCAACTTTGCTATAAATATCAGTAACTACCAGTTTGACTAGAGTGTCGTGGATCCTTATTGTCCTGATTAGCTGTATTTCACGTAATGACTCGTTGAAAACTCCCCTTATATCGTGCATGACTTTTTAAAAGTGAATTACGTCAGTAGATCTTGTGCACAAGTGCCAGCTTATCTCTTTATATTGTAGCCTAGGCTATTTATTGGGCGTGGGATGCAAGAGAGCCAACTTTCCCAGTTGAAGTATGTTCTGTTTCCCTCTGTTGAAGCTTTGTTTTCTTGAGAATTTGTTCTTCATAAATTGTTCCTATTGGTTGCTCGTGATGTAGGTATACGTTGTTCTGGTTGCTGGTCTTATCCAGCAAGTTCTCATTCAGCTACTTCTTTGAGGTGAGGATTTTCGCAGATAGAATGAATGAAGACTAGAGTGATAATGGAATTACTATCAAAATGTGGTTCCAAAACGTTGTTCATAAGTTCTTCTCATAACTCTGTACATTACGCATGTCAACTTTGAGTTGCATAATTTTAAGCACAATGGCAGGAGTATTATTTGTTGGCTTAAAAAACTCGACTTTATAAATCTGCTGCCTGATATCTGCAACTATATAAGAAAGCATTTCATGACATGTGTACCGCACTGGTCCTCGGTTGCTCTTTTTTCTATATTTCTGGCCTTCTTAGTCCTGCAGCCATCTGACATGGATAAAACCCGTTTGGTAAAACTGAAAATTAATTGCTGTAAATAAAATTTCTGAATTTTAGGAGTTGACCATTTTAACTGCTGCAAATGAAAATAAAATAGTTTGATCATGACTGAATATTTAGTACTGAATAACATTTTTTTCTTGCCAATCATAGAACTGCGAATATTATTGGTAGGTTTTAGCAATGGAATAGGCAAGATTTTATTTCCTATTTGGATGCCTTTTCTAATGAATTAATTAAGTAACCCATCATTACTTAGCTAATTCAGTGATTTTTGACTTCATTGAATTTTTTAAGTCAAAAGTAGTTATGATTATTAAACGTGCTTAATTTTATCAAGTGTTGAATACAGTAATTTTCTCTGCTCTTGTTGGAGTTATCAAACTTGCTCAAGTAAGATGAATTACCTCTTTTTATGTTATCTCTATAATTTGGAGTGCGGCCATATCAATGGAAACTGAGATGAGAAACTGCAATCGGCAAAAACACTTACATATAACAAATAAAGATGAACCTTTGGCTTTCTAGAGGACAAAGGTTGCAGATAGTTCCATATGATTTTTTAGGACATTACTAGTGTTTTTAAATACGACTGACCTGCCACTTGTCACCCAATTATTGAACAAATTGCAGATAAAACCACTGATCACACCAACCAGACAAATTATGAGAATTGGTGTCGAGTATGATTGGCATGAACTTTTCCCAAAAGGTGATTTCCTATTTTTCTTGGATTTGTGTTTCAAAGTTGGAATTTATATTCGAAAGGCAAACCTAATAAGTATCTGTAATTTTCCAGTTCGGAGTAATGCTGGTGCAATCATGGCAATATGGGCACCTGTAATAGTTGTGAGTATCGACCAACAAATGGGGCAGTAGTCTTTGTTTATGTCCAAATTTCTAGATCGAACTTTTTTTAGGCTAGTTTTTGAAACTCGAATGTTATTACATTATCATCATTTGATATCTAAAGCACTACTCTTCCTGCTTACAGTGACATTGGAAAGTAATGTTAAACTTGAGATATGTCGAATTTATAGATGTTTTTACTTTTGGATCGTCACTTTACATTGAATAATGTATTCAGACATTCTTATTTAATTTCTATCTTTAGGTGTATTTCATGGATGCTCAGATATGGTACTCTGTTTTCTGTACGATTTTTGGTGGTGTCTACGGCATTCTGCATCATCTTGGTGAGGTAAGATTTATAGCTCCTCCGAAATTTATCTGTTAGAGGTCTCAATTCCTTTTCTCTATGTAGATCCGGACTTTGGGAATGCTAAGGAGTAGATTCCATTCCTTGCCTTCTGCATTCAATGCTCGCATAATACCACCATCGAAAAAGGAGCAAAAGGGCAAAAGAAAAGGGTACTTCAGTGACCAAATTGGAAAGGTAGGAGGCCTCAACACTTCTATACTTCTTTTTGTCCTCTTAAAAAATTATTATTATTATTATTAGTATCATGACCCCCAATCCGGAAATTTTCTCAGGTTTCTGGAAATGAAACAAGTGACGCAGCCAAATTTGCTGTGATATGGAATGAAATTATCCGCAAGCTTCGACTAGAGGACTTGATAAGTGATAGGTTGGCTTTATTCTTTGCTGAGTACTTTTTAAGGTCCCTTCTTAAAAAATAATCACATAAACACACTTCTTGGAATAGGGAAGTAGATTTGATGGCGATGCCCTTGCCCCAAGAGAAAACTTTGGGAAAAGTTCGCTGGCCAGTTTTTCTTCTAGCTAATAAGGTACTGTCACGTAATGTGATGTTACTTCTTTCTCCGAGTTTTCTTATCTGCGTTGGTTCCCTACTGACAATTGACCCCATTTTCAAAAGCTTGCAACAGCACTGTGCATTGCTGAAGATTTTGTGGGGAAGGATGAAAATCTTTATAGGAAAATAAGCAAGGATAAGAACATGTACTATGCAGTGCAAGAGTGCTTCGAGTCCATGAAGTATATCGTCGAACTTCTTGCTGTTGGAGATACAGAGAAAAGGTAGAGAGATAATGTCATTGACTTTTTACATTGAGTACAATTAATGAGAGTCGGTTTATTGGGAGGTGGGGTATGCATATCTTATCCTACGACTTCGTAGCTCTTCATTTTTTTGACCCTTCTTTTTCCTCCAAATTAGTATGAAATGTGGTGGACTACAGTAGTACGTGAAGTTTCTCACATGTAGTTGGAAGAAACAGTTCCAATCCACTTGCAATGTTAATAATGCAAAACTAGGGAATAGATGGGTTAATTAATTGTGAAATAACTTTGACTGATAAATAGATGTCTGTTTCTACTGTTTATTGATATCAGTTTTTCATAAATATATCTATGTTGGTGGCCTTTATTTGAGAAAGGCTGAGCTAGTGATAAAGGGATCTTTATTTTCTCTGTCCTTGTACATTGATTGTGGTCGTGAATCTGCTTAATTCTGGGCTTTAGAAAGTGCTGCCAAAATTCTTTATCAGGGTAGTATCTAGCATACTCAAAGAAATTGATGCAAGCATCGGAGGATCAACCATTCTGAAGGACTTCAACTTGAGTTGCCTTCCAGCTCTGCGAGACAAAGCTGTTGACTTGCTTGAACTTTTGGTAATTGTTGCAGTTCTAAGGTTGATTTTTTACCCTCTGGAATGACTTGTACTGATTACTGTCTGAAGCACTCTTCTGTTATGAATTGCATAGCTTGATGGCAATGAGAACCATCGTGGAAGGGTTGTGAAAGTACTTCAAGACATCTTTGAGCTTGTAACCCAAGACATGATGATACATGGTGACAGGTTGGTTGGATTCACTCTACTGAATTTACAACTAGTTCAATTGCTTTCCTTCATTGAAAATTACCTGCTTCCAGAATATTGGATATACTGGACGCTTCTCAACAAAAAGAGGATGAGTATCCTTACTTCTCTGAAAGAATTGAGCCAGAGTTATTCGAGTCAGCTGCTGGCAAGGATTCTGTTCATTTTCCGTTGCCAGACAGTGGCCCCTTGAATGAGCAGGTACATCTTATTTATTGTCTTTTGCTGCCATTTACTGTCTTCCCCCCCTCTCTTCCCTCCCCCCCCCTTCCCAAAACATGAATCCAATGATTGGTGAACCCAATATCAAAAGGTATGCAGTGGTTTGATATACCTCTCTTGGCCTTTTGTCTAAGATCAAGTTTAGTATTTGTTCTCACCAGTAAAAAAATATGCACTAATGTTGCACATATTTGTGGCTAAGTACACGTAATTAAATGTGACCATTTTGACTTTGTATGGCAGATCAAGCGTTTCTATCTTCTGCTGACCGTCAAAGATGCAGCAGTTGATGTACCCTTTAATCTAGAAGCTCGAAGACGTATATCATTCTTTGCTACTTCTCTTTTTATGGATATGCCTAGTGCTCCGACAGTACGCAACATGCTATCATTTAGGTAAACTCTGTTTATGCAGTGAGCGACATGACTTATATCTAGGTGAAACTTTTATTTGCCCTAACCTCCTTGCCCTATTGAAAGAAAATGATATAACTACTGCTAGCATAAGACTAATTTCCAAAGAGACGGAAACGTATATTAATCCAAATGGACCAATGAAGAACAACTTCTTTCGAAGCTTTGTGGTGGTTTAAACAACAAGGATGCAAAAAGACACATTTCGAGTATTGTTCATATCGAGAAGATAAGCTAGTGTAATCACGTTCTTGAAGTGTATAAACATATTTATTTTTTAGAGTTTTCAATATGATAGGATGGTCTATCATTTCTGTTCAGTTATACTATAATTGATATATTCACTTCAGCTGAAGGATAATTGCTTGTGGCTCTTCTCTGAGCCAATGCCTCTTCTTTGACAGTGTTTTAACTCCACATTACATGGAAGACATCAATTATTCGATGAAGGAGCTCCTCCATTCCAGCCAAGAAGAAGTTTCCATCATCCATTATATGAAAAAAATTTATCCAGGTTTCTACCATGCAGGACACTTCTGTGTGATTGCCGTCTGATTCCCTCAAGTGTAGCTTTTGGCTTACATGTTCCTTTCTATTTCATAGATGAGTGGAGCAACTTCGGGGAACGCATGGGTTCTGGAGATGTGAAAGAATTGAAAGATCAAAATTGCGAGGAGCTGAGAAATTGGGCTTCTTTCAGAGGGCAAACGCTGAGCAGAACAGGTAAAGTTTGCCGCATTTAATGCAATTTTAGCCTACGAAAGTTCATATAAGGACGCAGTTACGATTTTTACCTTGAACTTCTGAGGTTGAGTGCAGTCCGTGGAATGATGTACTATAGGGAAGCCTTAAAACTTCAAGCTTTCCTTGACATGGCAGGAGAGGAAGGTTCATAATCTAAACTCGAAGTTCAAGTTAGAGCAATGTTTCTGGGTGGTGACATCCCCAGAGCCACTCCTTGATCTCATTGCAATATTCTCTCCTTTTGCTTGTTTCCATGCAGATATTCTTGAAGGTTGCGATGCTGTTGCAAGAGAAAATCCAGCACTATCTGCTCAACTTGAGGCTCTGGCGGACCTAAAATTCACTTATGTAGTATCCTGTCAAATGTATGGGTCACAAAAGTCTTCTGGAGATCCCCATGCAAAAGACGTACTCGACTTGATGATAAGGTAATGTCGTACGAAAACTAACAAAAGTGACTCCGATAATTAAATATTCCACGTATTCAAATTATTGTCATTTTGGTAGTTTATTAACACTACCTTGTTGATCGCGTGCTTGAAGGTATCCATCACTTCGTGTTGCCCATATTGAGGAGAAAGAAGAGATTGTGGCCGACAAGCCTAGCAAGACTTATTCGTCTATATTGGTAAAAGCTGTCAATGGTTTTGATCAGGTAGCATCGCAGAACTTAGTGTAGTTTCCTTAAGGAGTTATCCATTTTCAAGAAAACATTGACAATTGCATTCAAAGTTTTTTTCATGCTTGAAAGAAGGAAATTGTATCAATCATCCTAAAAGAAATAAAAAAAAAGATTAGAACTGAGTTAAATGAGCACATCATTTGTGCTGTATCCTCAACTAGCATTTCAAGTCAAAATTCTTCTCAGCAACTATAGCATCAAGTTCATTATTGAACCACTGTTCAGTGGCTTGTATTACATCCTCAAACGATGTTGTTCTATCAAAAGCATTTGATCCCAATTTACGTCACAGATACTTGATAGCAATTTTTTGCAGGAAATATACCGCATAAAACTTCCTGGTCCACCAAGAATTGGAGAAGGAAAGCCTGAAAATCAAAACCATGCCATAATTTTCACTCGCGGTGAAGCTCTTCAAACAATTGATATGAACCAAGTAGGTGCGGTTTTTTGAAAAAAGAGTTTGCGGGCATGGCAATTGTTTGATTATGATGCTCGGTTTAATAGGACAATTATCTGGAGGAAGCTATGAAGATGAGAAACCTTCTAGAAGAATTCCACCAGAAGAAAGGACATCGCCCTCCTACTATACTCGGACTCAGGGAACACATATTTACTGGAAGGTAATCTGGATGACTAGCCAATGTTTTGGTGCTTTAAATTATTTTTCCCACCAGTGGGGCCCTAATTGCTTGGAGAAGTACTAATAGTTTTGCACTTAGAGGGTCAACAGGTTATAGCAATATGAAAATGAATATGGCCACGATTAAGATGCTTAAGATGTGTGAAACATGTTGAATAGCATTATGAAATCTACCAGGTATACAGCATCCATTACACCAAATAAGTTGACCTTGCCTGATATTAAGGAGAATTAAAACCGTAAGAAATGACAATATGAAGGACAGGTTCCTATTGCAGTCTCTGAAATTTTTCCCTATTAAGCACGACTTCCTTAGAATCATCAAAATGGGAATTTTAAACCCTGATACCTTCCTTTAAAAAAACGGATGTAATTACATTCTTTTTGGAACATGTTGAGCTGAATGATGTCACTTTGTTGTATATTTAGAAGAATCACGCTGAACGCTTCATTCAGGATTCCTAAGCTATTCCGTCCATGTTTTGTTCTTGTAAATATTGGCGTACAAATTGAGGAGTATAAGCGCAGGCTCAATTTATGTGTTTATTCCACATTGCAGTGTTTCTTCTTTAGCCTGGTTCATGTCATATCAAGAGACAAGCTTTGTCACAATTGGTCAGAGGCTTCTTGCCAACCCTCTCAGGTACGGATATGTTGTTTCATCAATCTCATCCTCCAAAATGGACTGCTTGCCCATGCAGGTGTATAATTAACTTTTGGATGTAGCTAACTTGACAAAGGCCAAAATCCAAGAATTATGTTCTCATGAAGATATTCCAGAACTATAATTTTTTTTTATATCTCAAATAGCTTTATGAGCATGATTCCAGCTGAAGGCTTTCTTACTCTAACTTCTGTTGCTTTTGTCTTTGATTCCTCTTTCTTTCTATCGACTTTATCCCCCTGTAATTTAGGTCAATAATTTTTCTTGATTTCCTGGGCAGGGTAAGATTCCACTACGGACATCCCGATGTATTTGACAGGATATTTCACATTACTAGAGGTGGTATAAGCAAAGCGTCAAAGACAATCAACTTGAGCGAGGATGTATTTGCTGGTATAACTTTGTCAATGTTGTACTCTTTGATCCAGCAATTGTCTTCTTTCCTTTTTTCCACATGTGTGGGGGTAGGGAGAAACAGGCAACTGTCAGTTTGATAAAGGACGAACTGACATGTTCCTTTTGTAGGATTCAACTGTACTCTTCGGCGAGGGAGTATTACTTATCACGAGTACATGCAAGTAGGAAAAGGTCGTGATGTAGGCCTAAATCAGATCTCAAAGTTTGAAGCAAAAGTGGCTAATGGGAACAGCGAGCAGACTCTCAGCCGTGATATATACCGGCTAGGACAGCAGTTTGATTTCTTCCGGATGCTATCATGTTACTTCACGACCATTGGCTTTTACTTCAATAGCCTGGTACTTGCTTAAAAGGATATTTTACTTTTACAATTAATATGACCATTAAAGCTAGAAGAAAACTGGATGTCTGTTTAGTTGTACACACCCCCATAGTAGGTTGCTGATAATAGTAATTAGTATAGTCAGATTTTCCCAAGATTACGTAACATATTTGAAGTTATTCCAGAAGTGGATACTATGTGGAAGTTGTTCATTTCAATCCCCTTACATTAATGCGAGTTGTATTTTCCTGATGATATATTTGTTATATGGAAGCTGTTCTAATCATCTTTTGATTTCTCGTATAGGCATGTGCTGCCTGTAGTGATGATAATCTCTCTCTACATTTTTTGCTTGGAAGCACCATGATTAAATCTAATTTCGGCTTTGTCTTTGATGTGTTTGGGCAGATCTCTGTCATTGGAATCTATGTCTTCCTGTATGGCCAGCTCTACCTAGTACTTAGTGGGTTGGAGAGAGCGCTCATTCTTGAGGCTAGAGTTCAGAACATACAATCATTGGAAACAGCCCTTGGATCACAATCTTTCATTCAGTTAGGGCTTTTAACTGGCCTGCCAATGGTCATGGAGATTGGACTTGAAAAGGGATTTCTTATGGCCCTCAAGGATTTTATCCTCATGCAGTTGCAGCTGGCTGCTGTTTTCTTCACTTTCTCTCTTGGAACAAAAACTCATTACTATGGTCGGACGATTCTGTGTGGGGGTGCTAAGTATAGACCAACTGGGAGGAAGGTTGTGGTGTTTCATGCCAGTTTCTCAGAGAATTACAGATTATATTCACGGAGCCACTTTACTAAAGGGTTTGAACTGTTGCTTCTTTTGATCGTTTATGATTTGTTTAGACGGTCATACCAAAGCAGCATGGCCTATGTGCTAATCACATATTCCATTTGGTTCATGTCTATAACTTGGTTGTTTGCCCCATTTCTTTTTAATCCTTCTGGGTTCACCTGGGATAAGATTGTGGATGACTGGAAAGACTGGAACAAGTGGATCAATCTGCAGGGTGGAATAGGAGTTAAACCAGATAAAAGTTGGGAATCGTGGTGGTATGAAGAGCAAGCTCACATTCGTCATTCGGGACTGAGTTCTAGGTTAATTGAGATACTTCTGTCTCTGAGGTTTTTCCTATATCAGTATGGTCTCGTGTATCACCTTGACATCTCCCAGCAGAGCAAGAACTTTCTGGTTTATGTCCTTTCTTGGGTTGTCATTTTTGCAATATTCTTGCTGATCAAGGTAAGTACTTCTTCTTCAAAGTTGTATTGCTTGACCCTCCATACATGGTTAAAAACTTCTGTTCCTGCATCAGAAGGCGAGAGAATAATGCTCTTGTTAGGATTTAATAACGAAACGTAAAATTTTTTTTGGAACCTCTAGTGCAACAATGAATTATTTTGTCTAAGCATACAAATTACCTCAACATCTATGCAGGGTGTGAACATGGGACAGCAAAAGTTCAGCGCTAAGTACCACTTTTATTACAGGCTTTTTAAAGCATTCCTTTTCCTCGGTGTGCTGTCCATCATAGTAATTCTTTCCATCGTCTGCAAATTATCTTTGATGGATATCATTGTCTGCTGTCTAGCATTCTTGCCAACCGGTTGGGGGCTGATACTGGTGAGCTTGATTAAAGAAATCCTGTTTTTCTTCCCTTCCTCAGACTTTCTTCTGTTGTCTGACTCTTCCATTTGTCAGGTTGGCCAAGCAGTGAGACCCAAAATCGAGAATACGTTCTTATGGGAATTCACCCTTGTCATGGCTAGAGCATATGACTATGGGATGGGTGTCATTCTATTTGCACCGATGGCTTGTTTAGCGTGGTTGCCAATTATATCAGCTTTCCAAACTCGCTTCCTCTTCAATGATGCCTTCAACCGGCAATTGGAAATATATTCGATTCTTGATGGAAAGAAGAACGAAAAGAATAGGCAGGCATGAAACTTGGTCCCGGTATAGTAATTAATTCTTAGTAATCCCCTTGTAATATTTTTGAAAAAATGAAAAACAGCAATGTACAGAAGACCGATTCCAGTAATTTTTATGCACTGGAAATACGAGAGAAGCTTACAATACAATGTATTCTTCCAGCTAGAGGCTGACACCAATGAATAAAGCCGGAGTCGTAATTTCACCAAGAAGGGTGTTGTTTCTTCTAAGCTTTTCTACGCTTGATACTTGAGATACTTAAAACAGACAAAGACAAAGCCCAAGATGGAACTTAGTTGCATATGAGTTAAATGTCCAGCATATCGAGGAAATATGTAGTGCTCGATAAATGTCAGTACTCCCATGTCGTGAGAATGAATGCCATTTTAGTGACACTTGATCAAATTTTCCGGATCAGTGGCATCGATAGTTGAACTGTCTCGAGTACTCTAACCCTTGAGAGAGTCTGGCTTGGTAGTTTTTTATGCTCCAATGACTTCGCTTCTAACGGCCGATCAAAGCAGTTATCTCTCTTCAGTTGTTCACTGCTGAAGGGCCAAAAACTTCATCGGCCGTTAGAAGCGAAAAGAAAACACAAAATTTGGGCTAAATCAGAAAATTACTTCGTAGTTTTTCTTTCTGATTTTCCATACATACGCAATATGAGTCCTTGGTTAAAGACACCACATACAAGGCAACTCCTACATTTACATCTTTGACGGGTTAGTAAATTAGTTTGTTTCTTTTCAATAGTATGTAGTGTACCTAATTGGTTAGTTAAGCAGTCAAGGGTATCCAATGGAGTAAAAAAAGTAGGCTAACGAGGACATTAGTAGCAGCCGCACCAAAAAATTTCAGCCAGCAAGATTTAAACGGAAGCTATAGAGGATGTAAAAAGCCAACCTCTAATAGACTGGATGGTTGCATGACCGGTACAGATATGATTTACAAAACTAAATATTGACAAAACATTACAGAATTATACAAGACCCACACATCAACAAGAATCTTCCACACTAGCCAAAAACCGTTTTGTAATCCTCTCTGATAGACCGAGCATATTTGGCTACAAGGGTCTAGGCATTTGATCATCTATGCCTCCAACTTTATCTTGTTAGTGTCAGAATGCTTGTGTGTCTGAGCTGTGGTTCAATCAAGTAATTATCTGCATATCTCCTGAGCTGTTAAATTGCAACTGTCATGCTGGGGCCCAGCAACAGAACCCACAAGGATAGTGTTTCATTATATGGTCAGTCATAAAACTACTGAAGCTCTTCTCCGTGTTCAGGCTTTAGGGAAATTACTAGAACCACTAGCCGATGCAGAGGGAGAGTCTATAGGAATTGCTTCAACCTTAGAAATGTAGAGTGGAGGCAAGAGAGACTCGTCGCCAGAGTAACTTGATTCCAAGGAGACAGTGGTTCCTGTCAATGACGAAGGGTCACCTTGGGATCTCCTCGGTCCTTTTCTTGGAAACACATGCTTCCCACTGCGAGCAGATTTTTCGGCTCGCCTTGGGAAGCTTTTTGCCATATCTTTCATGTTTCCCTTCTCACTGCATCTGTTCTCGTTCTTGGTAGGACTCGAAATTCTCTCTGTAGGAACCTTGGATGACATTGGTCCCGAAAGGCCATCCTCGAGAACTAACTTGACTCCTATCTCTTTTGAATTGACCGCCTTTATGTTAGCAAGTGGAGATGGAATTCCCTGTCCAACAACGCTGGAATCTTCCTCTTTATATTTCCTCCGAAATACTGAACCGATCTTCCCTATGCCCCTCCAAAGTGGGCTCTTCGAATGTTTATCATCCCGGTCATCCTTAATCTTGCTGCCAGCACTTCTGACAGATTCAGCAACATTAGAATGAGCAACGTTAGGCTCCCTGTGAATTCGTGTATCCAGGCGTCGACTTTTCCCTTTCCTTGGTTCCCATATTTGTGATTTCTCGCACCCCGGGTGATAAATCCATACTCCAATCTCTTTAAGCCCTTCTATATTAATAGGTTCAAACTCTTCCTCTGATCTCGAAAAATCTTGTGACGATAAAGATGGCAAGGGACCTCTATTAGCTCCATCAGTTGCAAGTGAATCACCTTTATCTTCTCTGTTGATTGACTCCCCAGTATATAAAAAAACTTCCCCCTGTCAAAAGAGTGCATCAGGTCATGAACAAACGATACTTGCTTTAACATTGAGAAATTTTTTGAGGAGAATTACCTGTTCACTCTCTTCCAGTATAGTTATGCCAAGGTGCAACTTCCCCATTTTAATATTCCGAAGAGGTAACCACATATCATGTCTCTGTCCATCTCTAAGATCATTAATGTTTAAAGAGCAATTTCTACAAGGAATAAAAAAGGTCAAGTCAGCACATCAATCCATAAAAGCAATTTCTTTGAAAGATTGGATAAACAGAGTACTTAGTTGGTCGAAAGAGAGAACTAAAAGAATTTGTTCTAAGACGGACATATATTCGACCAAAAAAAAATAAGACGGACATATATGGTTAGTTCAACGATCAAAGCAAGTAATCTGCACTGGAAATTAGAGTATTATTAGAAAATTAAGGTTTTAGATTTTCTCAAGATCGATCAATGCTGTTCGTAACAGAAATAAATACATGTAGAATCTAGACAAATGAAATTGTAACCCTAAGAAAGACACCTAATGGCAATGCAATTAGTGACCCTTGTAGAACAAGTGGAGATCCACACCAACAGCAAGAGGCTTCAAATGCCACATAAGATATTAACTATTGCCGGCTCCACGTTCCATTGAAGTTAGAAACCAAGAAAGGAATTAGCGGAGTGCCATGCTGATACATTTTGCCTTGACACTTCCCACAACAGTAATTGTTAGAATCGTTAAACCAAGCCTGAATCTAACAGTTTAAGCTTTTAGAACAGTTGACAGTAGTATCACAAAATCTTAATGGTATCAAAGCAGAAGGTCCTATATTCAAATCTTTCTAGGTGCCTTATTTGCCTCCCTATTAAATATTTCCACGCTTTGAACTAGGCCAAAGTCCAGCCTGAGCGTGAGGGGGAGTGGTAGAATAGTTAAGTATTAAACCACAAAATCTCCCAGTAACAAATGCACAAACCTTTTTACAGTTGTGTGGCACTTGAAATATATTGGACTCAACCATGACTCTACTTACTAAATATTAAATGAATGTCCCATAGCAGAATCGGAAACAACAAAGATCTTTTCTTGCTAATCTAGGCTAAGCACAAACCCGAGATCACCATCGATGAAATGATCCTTGTCAAGAACTTCCAGAGTTAGCACATTAGGCATTTCCCATGTGATGATGGGAATCCTGAATTCCTCGTGCCATTTAGGAGCTAACGTTTTCTTCTGTGTTTTAGTCTTGAATCTGAAAGGACCCAACTTCCCCTTCACATATGGATCAGCCAATCCTACAAAGTGAGAATTGAACAAATTGATAATAAAGCTTAGTGCCAGCATTCAAATTTTGCAATCAGTGCCATGGAAATTACAGGAAATGAAATGGGTTATGAGCTAACCATTCAAATCAGATGGTTTCATCTCAGATGCTTCTATGACTTCCACTTTGGCATAAGCCACAGGTTCCTTAACATCCACAGAGAACCAAGTTTCTGGGATTAAAGTTCATGCTATCTCAGATGTACAGATCATCTTTCAGTACATAAATCAATAGAAAAGTGATAATAGTAGTGATCGAAAGTTTGAGAATATATCAAGCTTGTAGACAGCCTACACCACCGCATCAGATAACAAGTAAGTTGGCAGCGCAAAATGGGTTAACAGAGTACAAGCTGTGAGAGTAAGGTCTCAATAATGAAAAGACTCTTAAGGCTTTCAGATATTAAATTCTTACGAGACAAATTCTTGAGGACTTAGACATTAATGTAATCCCGTTGTATGTTACCTTGCTGCGATTTACCATCTTGTTGAGGTGCAACAAGTTTCTCCACATCAACCACCAGCATATTAGGCTGAAAACTCGAGCAGAACAAAACTTGTATTAGAAATAGTTTTCCCAAAGTCAATCCAAAGGACTCAACCAACACAATGGCGACGCAAATACTCAGTCTGTAGCTAACACTTATAAACCATGCTAAGGGAGAGAACGTCAACCATGCAGATGATGATATGATCAGGCACTTTATATGAACAATGAAATGTGAGTTCAGCCGGGCCAAAAAACTGTGAGATGAAACTTTTACCTCAACAAGCGTTTGCTCAAATGCATCAGAAAGAAGTTTATCCTACCCAAGAAAAAGAAAATAGACAGATGTCAGTTGCAATACATGCTAAAGAGAAAAAAAAATCACGACTCACAATCCATAAAGTATAATAAAACTTACAATCCATCCAGAAATACCAGGAAGTTCGGTCACATCAAGCCCATACGAGGACATAGGCTTCAGAGTCATCTGAAAAAATGGGGGCTCGGCAAAGCACACTCGTAAACGTCCAAGATAAGGCCAGGTTGGAATAAATTTTAACCCAAGTAGGACCTGGAAAAGAGAAGGAATTGCATCGTATCTGCTTCTAGTAACACGTTTGGGATCACACTAACAATACAACCAATATTCTCAAGTTCTCTGATGTACACATGACTGCACTAGATTTTGCCAAACATAAGTAGTCATTCGGTGGTTCTCATCTTCTATGGGATCTAAACGCTGTTGTGCACTTTCAAGAAAATTGGTATCCAGTTTCCTCTCATGTTTCTTACCTACTGTTATTGTTAAAAAGTCCAATCCAAAACCTTAAGCTAATAGGTGGAGGGAGACCACATAAATATAAAGAGCATTTAGGACCAATCAAACGATGTGGGACAATACTTCAACAGTTATATAAGACTCATGTTTAGAATTGCCTTGTGAGAATTGTATGTAACAAGCGCCGATCTCATGATTGGCGTAATAACGAATAAAATGTACGACAATTGTGTACACTTCCAACTAACCATGTAAAAGAAGTAAGCTTCCAAGTTCTAAACAGCAAGAAAATTCAATTCATTGTCACACCTTCCCTTCCACATGCATACCGGTCATATGCAATTTCGCCAACATTCCAAATCCAAATGTTTTCCTTAGCTTGATAGCAAATATTGCACTAATATCATCTGCACTGAGAAAATTTACCCCCAACTGCAAGACCTGCACATAGATATAGAGAGATTCTCTTCATCATATTATATTCAAGTCATAACTCAAACATACACACACATTCAAAAGATAATTAAATTTTGAAATCTAGAAACTGTCACATGATAGTACCCACCAAGTGGTCATCACCAGTGGCCTGACGAATAACGCGAACATCTGTAAATAAGGGGGGTTTGCTTCCAAGGTACAGGTGCTGAATTGAGGCCTCCTTCTGCAAAGAAAAATCCTTCTGTTGTGAAGCATCAACAGATATATGTGGGAGAAAATTTTGTAAAAACATGTCCACATGCTTATTATTTAACTCATTCTCTCATGTAAAGTAATGATATAAAAAGCATGAAAATTAGCAGATGATGATAAGCAAGAGCTTCTTTGTCGTATGCAACACAAGGTAAGTAATTTTAGCTAGCTCCAGAAGATAAAGTGAAGGTGCTGAGACTGCCCAAAATTTAATTTCTGCCAGCTGTGGCACAGTATACTTTTGGAAATTAACAATGCAATTCGCTTTTCTGCATAATGGAGCAGAATAGCGCTTTTCTCCTAGTCAAACAGTGAAATACTGCCTTAAAATTGAGTAGGAACCATACCACTGTCCATGGTTTGTACTTGTCCAAGAACCAGGGTACAATGGGAAGCAGAAACTTCTGTGAGGAAATTTGTTCCAAACACACAGGCCATATCTTCTCCACTGCATAGTTCAACCACCTCACCGTTTCCGAATCAGTCATCACCTAAACAAGAGCAAAAGGGCCAGACAAAACTTACTGAGGTCACAGCAACAAGGCAACAGAACCCCCTTAACCCATCTTCTATTTAGGGAAAATATACAATTGAATAGAAAGTGCCAACTGCCAGCATACCCGTCTCTGATACGACTGTTTCCTCTCCTCGAATTGTAACTTCTTCCTTAATCTCGTGATGTAATTCTCCTGAACCTTCCAAAAGAAAGCAGAAGCGCATTCATGAGAGAGAGAGAGAGAGAGAGAGAGAGAGAGAGAGAAAGAGAGAGAGAGAGAGAGAATTCGTGCAATTTTAGCATGCGATAGGAATCTGAGCTACCGCACGAGGCTCATATCCACCAAATGCATATAGTGTCTCCATGTACAGCTCAAGTGGAGGCCCTTCCACAACCCTCCACTTTTTTCGCTCTCTTTGCTTGTTATATACAGGAAAAAGAAGAGCGAACCCGGCAAAAAAAAAAATAGAGGAAGAAAAGCGGTTAGGGAATCGAGAGAAGTGACTCATACCAAGTACAGATAGAAGATGGAGACGATGAAGGTAATCGGATGGCAGAGATTGCATTTGCAGAGCAACCAGAGCACCAGCATCACAATGCACACATGGTGTATCAGTGTAACCTCTGTTATGTCCATTTCTCCGTACCCCTCTTCAACTGCAACAACTCTCGATTACAAACTAAGTATCCATCTACGGCAATCACAACCACAACAGCAAAACTCTCGTCTCTTCCAAGAAGGTATTCAAACGTGACAATCCCGACTGCCTCTCTGGAAACTCGTGGCCTATGATTTGTGGTTCAAAGAAGCAAATCAAACCCAAAAGCGAGAAAAGAATAAACAAACCATCCGGTCAGACAAAGGTGAAGGAGGAAAATGGGAAAGACTACGAAATTGTTATCAGCAAACGCGGAGACATGGGGCAACAAAGAAACAGGGGAGAGGTTGGTAAAGCAGAAGGAATATATAACATGGGCGAACGTTTCTGGAGAAATAATAAATGGGGCGATACCGTGCCATCAAAGTAAAACGAAGCCAAGGAAAAAGAAACCGCAAAAGCAAAGCGGAGAAGGAATCAAACAGCTTTGTGGGATTTGAAAGACGGAGAGGAGAAGTGTGACGGGAACGACGTTGGGCTCTACTCGGTGGCGGGCGACTTGGCGGGCTCTGGCTTTGGCTTTGGCTTTGACCCACTTCGACACGTGTCACACGTCATGTCACGTCGGCTTCGCTCTGGATAGAATGTCTAGCTTCACGCGGGCAAGGAAAGGTTCGATCTTTTTTCGTTGATTTGGTGAGACGGACCGCGTGAATACTGTACCAAGAATTTCAATGACTCGTTTATTCTAGAAAAAAATGACATAAATGATTCGTACAATATTATCTCTAAACTATTAATTTATTCAATGTGATCCTTGAATTTTAGTTTTATGTACAATGCCGCCATTGAATTTTTAATAAAGACTAGATTGAATTCACGGATATAATAATCCGGGAACTATATTGAACATTTATTATCATATCAAACAAATTAAAAGTTTAGGAATGACATCGCGCATTGAGTTAAAGTTCGGAGACTACATTGAACAAATCAAAAGTTCTTGAACGGCATTTGATCATTTATGTAATTATTCCTTTGATTTTCCTGTCTAATTCTATCTGTCACCTTATTTAATTGATTAAATAGACCAGGCTTAATACAATTATCACTAATCTTATGTATGTATTTAGGTTTCGGTGTGTACGTAGAAGTAGCTCCCGATTTTTTAAGTTTTTCGGTCAACCCTTCTAGAAAAAGAAAGAAAGTCAAAGTCGCGTTGAGACAGCCCCGTTATTACAGACAAAAGAAAGCAAAAGACATGTCTGACCCAAAATTACTTTCTTTTAATAATCAGCGGACGATTGAATCTTTGAACTTTCGCCAATTGTCCTTGTGTGGACATGATTAGCTAGAGATCTGTTGAGAATTGCGCGGCCATAAAGAAAAGTTAGTAATCACGTCAGAATAATGCTAACCATAGACATGGGTAGTTGCTTTTTTATTTGAAAGCTTACCGGTCGAATCAAATAATTTACTAGTTAAATCAAACTCATTCTTTTTTCTATATTATAAATCACTAGCAATATCGAGAAGTTACTAGTTTGATAATTTTTTTTAAATGAAAGCTACTGTCGACGTTGAGAAATTAATAACTGTACAGGTATTATTTTTCCTAATTTCAAACTTACAAATCACAAAGTTGTTCTCATCTATTGTAAACAAGACGGGGGGTGGGCGGCGGTTGCTTGTTACGTTGACCGATAAAAAGAATTATTGACGAAGCCTTCATTATGTCACAAATAAGTACAACAGAATTATTAAAGAGTGCTCGCCGTCATTAATTATATTTTGAAAATATAAACACTTTTATATGAAGAAAGTTACTTTCTTGAAATATATTTGATAAATTATAAATAAAGTATGATTATCATACTATGATACGGTCACCACGGAATTAACGCGCTATCTTGCTTTTTGTGGAGGGACCATACCCAAAGTTTCAATATACTCCAACAATGCAACCTAGATAGGATGACTTTATATGCCTCTATATATATATTGTATGTTCGTTTATTTTAAAAAAAAAAAACCGGATGATTTAGAAAATAATTTTTCTGCAAATATTTGTTGTTAGCTCTTAGAAAAAGTAGTAAGTAGAATTTTTCCAAAACAATTTATGTGTAAACATTTTCGTTGATATAAAATTATTTCTCATTCATTCATTTCTATAAACTATATAAGTAATTATTCTTAGAGAAATGTTTTTTAAATCCTTGATTTTCCAATGAAAGAAAGGCACCTCTTTAGGAAACTTCAGTCCTCTTTTCAAAAAACCGATATGCAAAAGCCACTGCATGCATGCATATATTTTCCAACCTCCACAATTGGAATATGTATCACTTTCTCATCGGAATTTATTCTTCTCCTCCCCCTTTTTTGAAAGATTCTCTCAATGGAAATTTCAAAAGAAGTTGTAATTTGACTGGTCCAATTTCGAAGTCGCCGCACGCATAGTATTAACAATGTAGAGATAAGAATAACATGAGTGCCATAATTTTCGTATGGCGCTCACTTGAGTGCCACAAATTTAAAAAATCGATCACTTAAGTGTCATCGGTAATTTGCCTCGCTAGAAGATCAAATGTGGACACTGGTTGTCCTACATGGCATTATCGGTGCTAGCGTGGACAATTTTTATAATTTTTTTCACTCACTTAAATGCCACAAATTTGAAAAATCGATCACTTAAGTTTCATCGACAATTTGCCTTGTCGGAAAATCTACTACCAGATCTAGGTGAGGCGGCCTTGTCCCGAAGGCCCTTGCCCGGGGCCTTTGCGGTCTTGCTAGTCGAGGGCAAGGCCTTTACGGCCGGGGGACAAAAAACAAACAAAGAAAAAAAAAAGGAAAAAAAGTAATTAAAAAAATTCAAATTTTTGAAAGAAATAAAAAAAATCTATGTAGGATGATTTGCCGAAAGTGACACTCAAATTATTGATTTTACTCATATGTGACACTTAAGTGAGCGAAAATAAAAGTTATGATACTCAGCACAGTACGAAAGTTATGGCACTCTTACTGTTTTTATCCCTAACAATGTACCTATATCCACTGATAGGATGTGCTTGTTCACATCGTGACTCCGCATCCTAAGTTAAATTTTCTGTTGTCAATCTCCTCCTGTGACACAACGTGGTAGCTAGTTACATCTTGCTGACACCAAGAAATAACCAACTCTTCTAAATCGACAAACAGTGGATTTAGTTGATTAACTGAATTTAGTTAATTTGATCGGCATGGTTATTGATGACTGCTCGATTTGGTTATTGATTAGTTTATCGATGACAATAATCTACGGTTTTCAACAACCATACAATAAAGTCATCGATGAGCGACGAAGTGGAGTCAATTGAAGAAGATTGGTAAATGAGTGCTTCAAGCCATTAAACATCGACAACTGAATGGCTTAAATATCGACATCTATGAAAAAGAATCGTCGATGGCTATAAGGGCTCGACATCAATAAGTGGTTGAAGGGTGTTCAGCAAGGTTTATCGACGGAGCAAGCAAAGTCTTGGCTATTCTGAAATTTGACTGAGTTGGAGGCAAGTGGAGAAACACGAGGACAAGAATATCAATTGAAAGCAAGGATACCCAAGTGACGATCGAGTGACCCAATGGCCTTGGAAGTTGTAACCGTTTGTGGATGAGTTCATCGTGCCAATAAGGGGGCAGGAATATGGGGAGTGCAATTATAATCGTGCTTAGAATAATAACTACTAGTGAATGATTATAATTAGTGGGTTTTATATATATATATATATAATATATGTCGGCGTGTAATTATGTAGATCATCATCAACAACAAATATTCCCGATATACTTTTCTCGGTTTATTAATATTGTTTTCTTTTCAGTTTCCATCATTTTGCATTCTTTTACGTACCTTTAACTTTACTATCCATCTTGATCATAACACCAATTGAATTCTTATCTAAAATCACCCCTGAACCCATCTTCCAAAAAAAATCAAATTCAAATTTTGGTAAAATATTTTCACCCGATACTCATTTTTTTATGAAACATGTTTTTGGCACATCTAGTGGGAGTCCAATGGTTCGATTTGAGGAAGTGCAATGACAAGGACAAGGACAAGGAATTAACAAGAGCCTGACAATGCTACCAATTGACGTAGCTAGCAAGAATCATCTAGAGGGGGGTGAATATGTGATTTAAAACTTTTGATCAATTTTTAAAGCGGAAATAAATGATCAAGATTAAAGTCTAAAAGACATTTAGATTCTGAGTAGACTTTATAGACAATGTGCTGGTGTGCAGTATAAAAGATAGAATAAGAGTTTAGGGATAAAAAAATGCACACAAGAAATTATAGTGGTTCGGCTTAGATCAAGCCTACATCCACTCTTCTACACTGACAGCCTATTAACTAGATTTCACTATGTGTTAAAAAAGGATTACAAGTTCTGAGTGATATCACTCTGTGAATGATAGAACCTCAATCTCATACAATCATTTTTACAAAATATCCCTCAAGATCTCAATATTTGGCTCAGGAAAGACAAGTAATAGAATCGGAGTATGTTTAGGCTTTGTACTTGTTGATTCTTAACTTCGTTCTCTTCCTTCTGCTCCCCGTTAATCTTTTTATATACTCCTCTACTTCCAAACTAGCCGTTATACAGTCTTCAGAGGATCATTTTCCAATCTTCAACTTGGAAATATTTGTATAAAATCGATTGAGTAGCTGTTGGTTGACAAAATCTGAATCCCGCCGAATCTGATCGCCTATACAATCAGAATTTTGATTTCCATAAGTAGAGCTTTATCTGTTGTGAGATATACTTGCCTTAATGTTTGATGGTCAATCAATTTTGCATTATAGCCTTTTAAGATTGAGTTAATCAAATTTTTCTTTCTATGAAATTCACGCTAGATCACTAACCGTTATGTTTGTTCTTAATAGTTTCAGAGTCTGGATAACTTCTCGTTCTTGCTTCACATCCAGAACTTAAGTCAGTGTGGGTCTTCAGTAGGATCTGAACCTTTTAGAAGTAAATTCTGAAGTTCTTCATCTGCTTAATATAAAGTCTAAGTAACTTTTACAGTAAAGTTTGAACTTCTCGATCTGGTTCCCGTAAAGTCTGAGATCTTCATTCTGGTCCTCGTAAAGTCTGAGTGTCCAGAAAATTTAGTTCTCTCGAAGTATTGGAATTGTCATTTCCAGAATATATCTACCTGGATCAAAGTACTTCAGAGTATTTATCAGACTTACAAAATTCACATAGACAGTTTTGTCAACTTCAAAATTTATTAGGAGGTTTCCTTAACACCAGCAAGAACCATTCATAGCGTCAAGGCAATGATAAGGCTATGCTTTATGAGTCGTTGATCGCTCAAGCAGCGATAGAGCAAAACCAATGTGAGAATGCCAATAGTCCAAAGCATGGAGCAATGAGCGAAATGGCGCCATACTCAACCATGGTGGCTACCATGAGGTGGTTGTTCAAGGAACAGCAAAATGATATGGTCGACCCCAATGCGAGGCAATGTGATTAGGCCAATGATTGTCAATGCAGTCAACTACATCATTTTTGCGCCCGGGTCATCCGACCAGTCCTTCCTAATTCAAGGAAATCCGGCGGCTCTAGGATATGTCCCTTCAACTTCCACTCAATTTAGTAATTTAGGCCAAGTAATTCCACCGACCGTGAGAATTTTACAAAAGCCTAAAACTTACGGCCAAGGTCAATATAATGCAAATGTGGTTGGTCCTGTTAATGGAAATAATCTAGTCAGTCTTGCTCAAACTAACCCAAATGATGATAATAACAATAATATTTTGGGAAAATTTCATTTTGGTACCCAAAGTGGGGGACTTTTCTAAATTTGGTACCCAAAGTGGACATAGTCTCAAATTGATACCCAAAGTGCCCATTCAGTCTCAATTTGGTACATGAGTTCGCCGGCCGATCAAATGCTCACCGGCCGGCAATAATTTTACTGTTCCGACTACCGGAACAGTATCTTTTTTTTTTACTTTTAAATTTTTTTCTTTCTTTTTTCCTTTTTCTGTTTTTTTTCTTTTCCTTTTCCTGTTCCTTTTCTTTTTTTTTTCCTCTCTTCCCTCCACCGGCCATCGTCGTGGCCGGCGGAGGTCGCCGGCGTCGGGTGAGGGCAGCCCTCGCCCGCCCAAGCGAGGGCCAACCGTTGCCAGATCTGGCGAGGGCGAGGGTTGCCCTCGCCGGATCTTGCGAGGGTCGCCCTCACCTATGTCGGGCGAGGGCGGTTCTCGCCTGGGCTGGCGAGGGCGAGGGTTGCTCTCGCCGGATCTGGCGAGGGTCGCCCTCGCTGACGTCAGGCGAGTGCGGCCCTCGCCTGCGTCGGGCGAGGGCGAAGGAGAAGTCGATGAAGATGGTGCTGGACTCGCTGGCCTTCATCGCATCGATCTCCTCCGAGTAGTAAGGAGGTCCCCTCGAGTTCGAATCCAGCGTAACGCTGCGCAATGTTGTTCCCTCATCGTGAATCGACAGACGCAAGCAGAGACCGTTTCCATCGGAAGGGAGATGGGGAAGGGGAAGGGGTTACCTCTTGAGGAAGTCGAGGAAGACATCCTCGACCTAGACGGCCTTGCGATCAACGAAGTACGAGTCCATGTCCGCACCGGAACGATGACTTCTTCTTCTGCACAGCGGTTTCCTTCCGAGGGTTTGGAACGGAGGAAGAAGGTCCGGCAAGGGTCGGCCCTCGCCCGACGCAGGCGAGGGCGACCCTCGCCCGACGCCGGCGAGGGCGACCCTCGCCCGACGCCGGCGAGGGCGACCTCGCCCGACGCCGGCGAGGGTCGGCCCTCGCTCGCCCAGGCGAGGGCGGCCCTCGCCCGACGCCGGCGACCTCCGCCGGCCACAGTGGCCGGCGGAGGGAAGAGAGGAAAAAAAAAGAAAAGGAAAAGGAAAAGGAAAAGAAAAAAAACAGAAAAAGGAAAAAAGAAAAAAAAAATTAAAAAGTAAAAAAAAATACTGTTCCGGTAGCCGGAACAGTAAATTTCACGCCGGCCGGTGAGCATTTGACCGGCCGGCGAACCCATGTATCAAATTGAGACTGAATGGGCACTTTGGGTACCAATTTGAAACTATGTCCACTTTGGGTACCAAATTGAGAAAAGACCCCTGCTTTGGGTACCAAAATGAAATTTTCCCTAATATTTTGGAAAATCAAAATGTTCGACAGAAAATGCCTTTGTCAAATGCGGAAAATGTTAGGCTAGTCGAACCAATACCGAATTCAATAATGTAGGGCCATTTGGTGTAGCAATTCCACTAAATGTAGGAAATATTTTAAAATGATTGTTTGTATCACTTAGTAAAAAATAGTCATTGGAAAATGTTTTCATCAACAATGACAATTTATGTCTAAACATCTTTGCCGATGAAGAAAAATTTTTCATTCATTTAATTCTGTAAGTTATAAAAGTGATTATTTTTTGAAAAATATTTTCCGTATTCCTGATTTTCGACTAAAGAAACGCACCTCTTTTGGAAACTTCCATTCCTTTTTCAACAAATGGAAATGCAAAAGCGATTGCATGCATGCATGTATTCTCCAACCTCCACAATTGGAATACGTATCACTTTCTCATGGGAATTTATTCTTCCTCTTCCCTTTTTTGAAAAACTCTTGTGGAAGTTTCAAAAGTTGTAATTCGAATGGTTTATGACATGACAAGGTTGCTGATTTATATCATATTCACCAGACATGCAATATATATATTTATTAATTCATATTGGACCTCAAGGGAAATTTTGAGAGATATGACAAAGACAGTCCTTAAATTTTGGCTCAATATACAATACGGTATATGAAAATTTTAATTTGTTCAATATAGTCTCCAAACTTTAACCTAATGTTCAATGTGGTCCATGAACTTGAATTAATGGAACGACTATATTTAGGGACTAAATTGAACATGTATCACAAGTTTATGGATGATATTGAATAAATTAAAAGTACATAGACTACATAACATATTGGATTAAAATTTAGGAATCACGACGCACATTTTCCAAATTTTGACTTGGCCTCCCTCGTTCTTTCAAGTATCTTTCTAATAATGACAAGGGCTTTGCTGCTGGGCCTGACCCGATTTCTAAGTCTATAAGAGTAAAGCCTCTCTCAGTTGTTCTCCACTGTAACATCTCTCTCTCTCTCTCTCTCTCTCTCTCTCTCTCTCTCTGCTGCTCCCAAAAAAGATCCTGTATTTAACTTAAATAACTTTATGGAAGTATGAATGATAATTATTTCTAAGAAGCTTCATTCATGAAAATAATGAGTTGATATATATTTGAAAAGGCAGCAACTTTAGTCTTTAGAAGATAGCAAAACTATGCAAAAATATCCGTAAGTTATTTCTCGGACGAAATTATAAATTTATCCTTCGTCTTAAAAACATCTGTTGTTGTCTTATAGCAGAGCCTGCTGGAAGTTGGAAACGAATCAAACAGGCTCCGCTGGTCCAGGAGTTCCATTCGTTCCATTCATTTTCACTATAGCAGGTAGCAAAAGTAAGTCCCGGCAATAGAGCCCGGATCAGCACCGACGGGGTTTCACGAAACCCGGCCTTGATCTCTTTTCCCGTCTTTCTAATTTGTCAAGAGATTTGCTTGCCTTTCCTGAGACACGGGATGTTTTTGGTTCAGTCTTTAGCTTTGCTCCAACAATGCCGTTGACCTTACAGCAGGGCAGGAAAGTGTTCGATCACCTCGTAACTCACCTATGTCGTAGCCGTAGTCTCTTCCAATGGTTCATGCTATCCTGGGTCTTTCCATCATTTTGAGTTACATAGAGCAAACTTAAGCGTGGTCTAGTTACATTGATCCTACGGCATTGATTGGTACCATTTCGAAGTCCACACTCGCATAGTATTACCTTGTTGTACCTATATCCACTAATAGGAGCTACTTGTTAGCATTCTAACTTCGTATCCAAATTTGAATTTTCCTCTGTCAAGCTCCACTTGTGATACAACGTGGTAGCTAGTGCCGTCCTGCAACAAATACAAGTTCCAACAACCCACATGAGTGGCAATCCAAGGAATGGACAGCTTATCCAAAATGTGTTCCCAGGAAGACAATTGGTTTCAAAAGTAGGCAATTTCAACATTAATTAACTAACCAATGCCAGGGATGCGTCCCTCTTGGCATTTCGTGAAGAGTTTTACTCGTCCCAATTTGGGTAAATAAAGATCGAACATGTCTCTCTAGATCATAGAAAAAATGTTGGACTTGTAATTCACTAACTATTTAGCACTTTCAATCCACATTTAGCGAATCTATTGATTCCTTGTAATTGCCTGCATCCAAACTTTCTTTGTTTTTAAGGCTAAATATGAATGAAGATTATAATCAATCCGATCAACTGTCAAGCATACCGGTGGGTGCTGATGAAAAGAACAATCAAAATAATACTAACTACCAGTAATATTTCGAACTTATGATCTCTACACAATAAGACCATACAAGCAATAGAACCCATAGTGCATGGTAGTTACAGTTGTAATGAAACAAACACAAAACGCTATTGGCATCGGAATGGGTATGCCAAACAGTGGCTTTGCTCGAAAATCAATCTCACTAACGCATACAAGCAATTGTAGTAAGTGGCTTAAAAGAATTTAGATAAATACTAGTTTCTCGGCATTTATTAAATATGCAAATAAAAAAAGTTATAATTTTATTGAGTTTTTCCCCGATGAATACAATCATTCCCTTAACAAAATATATTCTTATAGGAAAATAACATAAATGGTCATTGAATTTTGATCCAATATGCAATATGATCTCTGAACTTTTAACTTGTTTAATGTAGTCCATAAAATTTAGTCCAATGTGCAATGTCGCTCCTAAACTTTTAAATTATTCGATGTAGTCCCTAGATTTTTTGTACATATTCAATTTAGTCCCTAGATTATATGAAATGTTCGATACTATCTCTGAACTTGAATTAATAGAAGGACAATGCTGAATATTTTCACATAATTCAAGGACTAAATTGAATATGTATAAAAAATTTAGGGACTACATTGAACAAACTAATAGTTCGAGGACTACATTACAAATTAAATTAAAATTCAGAAATTATATTGAATAAATTAAAAATTCATAATTTAAATTATATATTAAACTAAAATTTAGAGATTATTTATGTCCCTATCCATTTTTTTCTACTCGTTGATCCCACTCAAAATAAGATCCAGGCCGGCAGCCCCCTCGAAATAGGATAGGTACCAACACCATAAGACTCGGTGTCCAATCACGGAAGAGTCGTCGTCATCGATGTCCAAGAACGAATTTTTAAGGACGGAGGAGTGGGCACATGGCAGGCTCACGAACAACCGACCACTGTGTGTGTCCGTGTGTGTCCATGATGCCCTTCCCAGTCAGAACTCCACTCCTCCTCCTCCTCCTCCTCCTCCATTGCAATTTGCAATGTAGCGAAAATGGCGGATGTCAGAGGCGGAGACACCGACGGACACCAACACGACACAACAGCACAAACGCACAAAAAAACCAGCAGCGTCCATCGCATGAGCCCAAGGCATGACCATTCCTCTCCAAGAAATGACGACAACTTCGATGCCTCCCACCTCAAGAATAATCCCAATTGCTTCATCTTACATTATATGAAACCACAACCCGCGATATTATAATCTAAGATGATCCAACTGAATCTTCCATCTTTGGGACCTTTATAATTACGTTCTTGTTGCGATCGCCCCCGCGTCCCTTTGCTTACAGCAGGATCAGGAGTCAGGACATATGCTAAAGGTTGGATTGTCGCGAGCCTCTGTCTCGAACGTTCGGACCCATCGTCTTCTTTCCAACCTCCGCAGGATCAATCTCGCGACACCCATTGGCAATTGCCCGAAGCTCATTGGATCGGTGATGGGTTCTCACAGCACCGCCTCTTCTCAGTCCCCGAAGCTCTTGTTTCGCCAGTTCTTCGAGAAAGAATCGTCCACCTACACCTATCTTCTCGCGGACGTGTCTCATCCCGAGAAACCTGCTGTTGTGAGTCTTCATTTTTGTCCCCTTGATATCGAACGTTGACTTTGGTATCGATCTTGTTATCTCTCGTTTGTTGGGATAGGACCACATGTTCTTTAATTTTTGGAATGTGGAATTGAAACAGGACTTGACATGATTATTGGGGTTTGGTTGGAATATTTGAGGAATCATGAGTAATTTCATCTGTGCTCTGGGATGCGACAAATTGCTTGTTAAATAACAATCCGTGCATTTTGTGGTATCTGACAGTGAAATTCTTCGTTTTGTGAAGTTGATTGACCCGGTAGACAAAACTGTAGATAGGGATCTTTCTGTTGTCAAGGAACTGGGGCTGAAGCTTGTATATGCCATGAACACGCATGTACATGCCGATCATGTAACTGGATCTGGTCTCATTAAGGTTTGTCGATTCTTATTATCATGGGCTAGCTGACCTCATAGTTGTTATTTCTCTGTCATCTTATTGTTTGCGCTGTCAAAACTTTACTGCAGAGTAAGGTTCCGGAGGTGAAATCCGTCATCTCAAAAGTCAGTGGGGCGAAAGCCGATGTTTTGATCGAACATGGCAGCAAAATTTACTTTGGAGATCTCTTTCTGGAGGTATGCATGGAACTGCATTTGTCCCAGAAAAAAAGAAAAGAAAAGAAAAGACAGAGTATGGTTTAAGTTTGCATCCATGTAGAACAATGTCATCAACCCTGTTAGCATACAATTAAGTTTTAAACAAAAAAGAACCATATTAGGCGTCTTGGGCACTTGACTTTCAAAATTTTAAACCCCATTTGCCATAACATTATGTAACCAATGTTGACCTAGTTTATGTGTCAAGGGGTGTCACTCCTTAAAGGCATTTTGGAGCCCTTATTTGCTTCAGGTACCTATTCAGTTCAAGAAAAGAGGACATTTTCAAGTATTCTTCCGAGGCATATTTGGTTAGTGGAAAGTCCATAGTTGGTCTTCTCATTATCCAAGATCGGTAATGAAACAACTGAACTTTCCTCAGACTCGTGCTACTCCTGGTCATACATCTGGCTGTGTCACCTTTGTGACGGGAGATGGACCTGATCAGCCTCAGCCAAAGATGGCGTTCACTGGGGATGCTCTACTAATCCGTGGATGTGGAAGGACAGACTTCCAGGTGAACATTCGAATAACTTAACGTGAATTGACGTTCACTAATTTGATGTGAACTTGCAAACATGAGGAAATTGATAAAGCCATGGTGCTTTAAGATATGTCTAGCTAGCAATTTTCTTGAAGTTGATGCTGTCTTAGTTGTCTCAACTTCAAAGGGTCACATCTGGCCAGTATTTTGTATTTGCTGCATCATATCAGTATTATTGTTCTGAAGTTGGCATGGTCGTGACATTCTTTCAAGATTTCACAGAGATGAGACTCTTCAACTAGCATCTACCTTCAGATTCTACTAGCATCCTACTAAAAGCAATGAAAGAATTCTAAGCCATCATACCAATCTAGGCCAATTTAACACTCTTTCATTTGTTTGTGGTTAACTAAACATATGGCATCGCTCAGTTGTTTCCTGGATGAATTTCTGTGTACATCCAGCAGATTTAAGTGAATTTCGCCATATTTAGCCTCCGACACCAAAGAGGGAGGAGAGATCGAAGTATCCAAAATTTGGTTTTTAGACGGAGTAATGATACATGGTTAGATCAAATAAATGAAAGGCAGAGTTAGGTTTTGCCTTTACTTTACTTGATATTCTTGAACTCTCCCATTCAAGTTGTGGTCAAGTCTGTATCTTTTTCCTAACAAACCAACCTATGATGTAAATATGCAGAGCGGAAATTCAGAACAGCTATACAAGTCGGTGCATTCCCAGGCAAGGATGATAGATTTTTCCTGTTGATGGATGTTACGCATTTTGTGTGAACGAGTGGGGACTTAAGCCTCACATATAAACTTTTACTCAACAATGCATTAAGTTTTTTGCCATCTTGTTTACACTAACATGGAGGCTGTTATTGTTGATCAGATCTTTTCGCTGCCAAAGGATACGTATATCTATCCAGCTCATGACTACAAAGGATTCACGGTAAGGGAACACAAGGAAAATTTTTTCTTGTTGACGCTTCGTTTCTAGCTGCTTAAACCAACAACGTGTTGAATTCAGGTGAGTACTGTTGGAGAGGAGATGCTTTACAATCCTCGCCTGACAAAAGATGAGGTAATTCTTTCATCTGAATAGCCGCTTACCTATTTTGTTCTTCAAGTGTTACACCTACAAATTGTTTCTGTGCTATTACACCTAATGGCCCTCAGCATAGAATATCAGTTCCAAATTCAAACAAATCAATTTCAACATCCATGACTAATCATCTTTATTTGGAGATTCCTATGATCAGACGAACAGCATAGCAGCAAGCAGAAACACTGGATTCATATAAGTTCAAGCATACAAATGATTTTCTTTACAAAGTATAGCATGTATCCAAAATTATATACCTTTTCGTTAGTTGATCCATGTTTGTGGTAAATCTCCCCTTTTGCAGGATACTTTCAAGGGAATCATGGCAAGTAAGTACTATTCTTATTCAGTGGAAATAAAAATGTTTGAAATCCCGCTCTGCACATTTTGATCTGCAATCTTTCCAAGATCACTGCGATGATATCACATTTCTTCTTCCTCTTTGATCAGATCTTAATCTAGCATATCCCAAGATGATTGACGTAGCAGTACCGGCAAATTTGGTGTGCGGCTTCCAAGATTTGATCCCGAAAAGTTGCTGAACCTTTCCGAAGTTGGATTGCTTGGTTGACAGGAAGCATCTTCAGCGTATATTTTCTCTCTGGGCCACGTGAATTGTGTAATAAAAAGATGTATTCTGTTTGGCCAACAAAAGTAGCGCTCGTCTACAGGAATGAACTCGTTGAAATACTTGTGGACATGAATAAGATCGAGCTGAAATTCCTTGAATTTGCGATGTTTTGTACTTGCCCTCAAACAAATTTACAGGCTCCACGAGTATCAGCTCACTGCTTGTTATTGAGCTCGTCATGCTTAACGTCACAAACTGGATTTGATCCGAAAGGGTTGGCGTGTCGCCACCGTTGTTTATGACCAAATACCAATTGGTGATGGAAAGAAATACTCTTTATCAGAATTGAAGTGTCCACAGTCACAGACTCAGAGCTCGAAACTTGTTCTTAACGGAAACTTACGGGGTCATGTTCTTTCCCCTTCTTGTTCCCGGCCAGATGCCGAATTGCCAAGTTGGCTGTAAGCATCCTTGGTCACGGTTCCTGCTTCACAGAAATTTCGTTTGCTGTCGTTTCTTGTACTCTGAGGATGTAACAGGACAGGAAAAAAATGGCAAAGGGAAAAAGGAGAAGATCACACAATTAAAAGGAGACGAAATTCCAACGAAAGAACAAGAAAGTTTCCTTATGGTCTTTGTCCATTCCACGGGCATAATCCTGGTCTTAAATGTGATTTGTCTATAAACATAGACCTCATGAGACTTTCACCTTGTATGGCAATGTATTATACATTTCTACTTTTTTTTATTCTATTTCACAATGGAACTCTTTAGTAAACATCTTTACAATTGTTGTGGATTCATATATAATCGGGCCTCATTGTGATGCGTCCATTATTTTTATAGTGGGCTCGTGTGTTATATAGACGGGCTCAAGAGATCCGATTTACTTACATTTTGCATGACAACCTATTTTATTTCAATGATGGATATGCATAAAATATTGATGTTTTATATACTAAAAGACAACATGGCACCTCTCAATGATGTTTGTCGTGGTGGGCTTATGAGTTATATAGATGAGTTCAAAAGACTAGTATATTTGCACCATGTTTGACAACTCACCTAATATTGTTCATTTTTGTCCGTAAGCGGACAAATCATATTTAATATAAGCTTTTATTCGGTCTAACTGTTGACGAATCATTTATTACTGTAGCTTTTAGTGTTTCCAACTATTCTTGATCATAATAAGTCTCGGCTATGGACATGTATAACATATTCGAGGGCAAAAAGTAGCAAATAATAAAGTATTGATCGCGAAAATGCAATTAACTGACGAGAAAGGTACGTGCCCATATTGGTACACGTGAATAAAATGAAGGTAAAAAATATCGAAAGAGAGGACGAAAACCGTGGACACTCAGGAGGGGATAAACACGCCACGTGAGAGGAGAATTGTAAAGCATGAAATTTTTTGTTATTTATTCGAAAAATTGCGTTATTACTAACTGTAAATAACATGCAATTACATTACAGTGTGTTGTTAGTGGAGTAAGCAAGCTACCGTATTTCTTCGAATAGACAAAAGATAAAATGGAAAATGACATAAACAGTCTCTGAACTTTGGCTCAATTTGCAATGCGGTCTCTAACATTTTAATTTGTTCAATATGGTCATTGAACTTTAACTCAACATGCAATGTGATCCATGTTCAATGTTGCATGTTCAATTTAGTCCACATGGACTACAATGAACATGTACAAAAAATCTATGAACCACGTTGAACAAATTAAAAATTCAGAGATCATATTGATTATTTAGCTAAAGTTCAAGGATTATATTGAACAAATTAAAATTTCGGGGATCATATCGCACATTAGATTAAAGTTCAGTAGCTGCTCGTGTTATTATTTTTATGATAAAAGAGAAAAGAGAAAAAAAAAAATGCACTGAGTACTGTACTAAGACGGCGTTGTACTACTACCTTCGCCTTTAAGGAAATAAAAAATCAAGGCAAATTATACGCATCCAGCCAAAAAAGTGGAGCGGAACCGAGTGAGAATGACTTGAGCTTGACCCTATCCTTCCTCGCCATTTCTGTCTCTCTTCCGCTCGCTCTCTCTCTCTCTCTCAAGAACTCCAAGAACTCGCACCGTTTCTGCACTGAGATCCAACCTCCCTTCTCCGGCAGGTCACCGTCGCACACCCTTTTGGCCACGGTCGCCGTGGTCGACCACCAAGATGAGCAAGGACGACGACAGAAGCAGGGGCGTCCCGGGCGGCGACTACCAGCCCCAGTACGGCACTTTCCAAGGCGTCGCCAACTACCCGCCCCCGAACCCGCCGCACCGGCAGCCGGCGATCGGCTATCCCCAGCCGGTGCCTCCGCCCGGCGCCTCCGCTCCCTCGGCCCCTCCTCCTCCTCCTCACTATTACCATCATGGGTATCACACCGTTCCGGGTACAGAGTCGCTTCTTATTAGAATCGCTTGCGAGCAGAGTTAACTTTAAGCATGTAAAGTTTTGAAGGGTGTTGTCGGTGAAAGTTCGATACAGGGATCATTTCTGGAATTTGGTCGCGGTGCATTGGAATTTCTGTGTGATCATGATGGAATGTTTCTAGGAATCTTGGGATTTTGATTTTGTTTTATGAACTGGCAATATGTTCGCCTTTGCTGATTCCCTCTGGCATGGAATGATGTTTTAATGGATTTAGTTTATCCGGTGGGTTTAGTTTCTTGGCGAAAGGTTTAACATCCTCATCTCTTGAGACATTGGATGTATGGGGTGTGGGGAGAGGAGTTCATGAAGGTGTTGAAATTAAGTGAAATTAATTGGACCAGCGCGTTTGTCCTCATTTTGGTTGACTAGCTTTGAATGTGGCTTCTTTAGGGGTCAATCATGCTCATACAGAGAATCATATGTTTTGCCTGATGTGTTGTCCCAGGGTTCTCGGGGTTTGAGTTGAGTCAGATAAAGTGTGGTACCCAGTGGAGTCTTGAGTAAAATGATGTCTACTCATTATAAATATGGCTCGACTTATGTGTTCACCTTGCTACTATGCTCTAGGTCATGCGATATCTTATTATGAAGTCATGAATGTACAGTTGCGTTTCCAGTTGTGCATTACGTCTAGATAGAAGCAGCACAATCATACCAGCACAGCTAAGAAGGAAGATAAGTAATTTTAGCCGGTAAATACTGTGACCAACTGGGTTTACTTCACTATAGCTTGAAAAGATTCTGTAGGACTCGAAAATATGCCCATATTCATGATTTTACCGATTGCCTTGATGAAACAAAAATGATTTATGATCTTCACTTTGTATGCTTTGCAACCTTTTTTTTTGGGGGGATTCCATTTCTCAGCAAATTTTTTCAGGTTACGCTGTTGCTGAAGGAAGACCAGTAAGAGAATCACAGATGCCTTGCTGTGGTATTGGAGTTGGATGGTTCCTGTAAGTTCTGTTCTTTACTCGTGGGTTGGATTTCATGTATTGGTGGGCACATAGTCAATTGCAAAACATGATGAAGTCAGCAATGTCAATAACTACAAGGACTGCGTGACAGTTCTTGAGCCTGGATGTAGCAGATTCTTATGCTTCATGAATTCAACATCTTTATCTTTTGTGATGCTTATTGGTACCTGGCCTTTAAGTTTGAGACCAGAGAAATACCATGTGATGGTTCTTTACTGAAATCTGAGGCTTGTATTCATGAAAATTTCGATCATTTTATGATCATCAGCTAATTAGGGATGTCTGCTTTGTTGAAGGTTTATCATTGGTTTTTTCCTTGGTGCCATCCCTTGGTACATTGGCCTACTTATTCTTCTGTGTGGTAGGGTAGACTACCGGGAAAAGCCTGGATATATTGCTTGTACAATCGCTGTGAGTCTCTCTATTTCTTCTATCACAAAACTAGCTACATTTGCTTGTTTGTTGCTTCCAGGTAATGCATACATTCACGCCCCCGCCCTCTGTTGCGTGCTTATGCACTCGGGTGTGCGTACTTGCATGTATACTTGTCTGCCTCTATTGTACTCTGTAGAATTAACATTGTCATTCATCTTAGTAAGTACCTCTTCCCAAGAGCAGTTCGGTAATACATCACATAAATTATTAACTTCTCTCCCTAGTCCAAAAACTTAGCTCATGTACAACTGTATATTTGGTTCTTTCTGTCCCGAATATACCGCGTAACATGTTGATTGAGGAAGCCTTTACTGTCTTCCAGCTTATCTATGTCTGGCCCTCTACTAACTTTATTCCTGACAATGCCTATGTTAGTTTACCCTCCAAAATGAAATCCATGTCCCCCGTTGATATGGAACTTCTGGAACTGCAAAGTAGATGCTTTGGTATATGGTTTTTCTTGAGTGGGGAAAAAGTTCGTCCTGCACATTCCCGTATATAGACCTTTAACGATCTTACGCATCTCTAAACCTCATTTATGAGCCATTATGAATCCTGGCCTTCTTTTCTCTACATCTCTCTCTTATATATACATGTTCAATTCATTTTACGACAGACAAAAATTTAAAATTCCTTAAATATCCATGTGCAGGCAATTCTGGCAACAATTGCAATTGTCCTTGGTGTCACAAGAGAAGCTGATGATTGGTAACATCATAGCAAATGGCAATAATAGGTATCTGATGTGATGTCTGAAGATGGGATAGTTCATGCGATCTACTTGTTGACTACATGAACAAATGGGGCCATCATGTTATTGACCTTTTTTTATCACAACCTTTCCTTCTGTCAGATGAGCAAGGAAAACAGAATGGTTGTGTCGGTCCAAGAAGTTCGTGTTTCGGATTATTCCTAGTTTTCAAGAAATGTTTTGCGTAAGAACAAGGTTGTCCTGTCTTTTTGGTCGGCGAGCCCCGTGATGCATGTATTTAACTGTTGCAGTGACTATCTCTATTATGCTCCTTTGTAATGTTGTGAAAGCTAGATCTGATAGTCAATGCGTTCATTTTCATCTGAATATCCTTTAAGAACCGGATGCTGGAAATATCTCAAATACATTTACCGATTCATCTTGCTTACTCCGTCGAAGCATATCTGCTGACTACGGTTGTTGATAGAAGCCGTGGATTGCAATATTTTGCTTTTTTCAGTGAGGATTCATGTTGAGTTCTGTAAGCTCGTGATGATTGAACGATGAATGAATATCACATCTTATAATCACGTCCAGTATTTGCGGCTTAGGGACACAGGCAAGGATTGCGATGACGTCCAAGTTGTGGATAAAAGAAGATTAGAGACCACTTTAGTCCATCAAATCTTTAGGAACTTATGCAAGAACAGAAGCCTTAACTCAAACTATACATTTCATCAACGGCAAATAGTGATAACATTTTAGTTCGGTCAAATCATCCATGAAGAATCGATTCGGAGTGGAATCGTCACTGCGAGATGCGATTTATCTCCTTTGTTTGTTCTTGCAAAAGATGTGGAATGCTCATTCCGCCATCAAACAAGGAGAATGGCCATTCCATGGCTCCACTTGTGGTATGATATGGGCTGTATGGCCAATATGGCCAATCCATTCCTTGGCAAAATATTAAGAAAATTATTATATACAATGGTATCGAGTGTACCCTTTATTTTTGTTTCTCACACATTACCCATTTTAAGGACATTTTACATTCCAAAATTATCGTATCACAAAAAAAGGATTCTTTTCAACTTATTTTCTCGTACAAATACAAGAATTGCGATTCATATTTCATTCCATTCCTCATTTCATTTTCTTCCATTCCTTGCTTTAGTTCATTTCCCTCTCGTTCCATGCCACTAGTTGTAGGATAGTATGTGGACTTGGATGTTTTCTTGAGAGGAAAAAACAAGGGGAAATTTTGCACTTTTAGACATTGTTGCCACATGAAACTTAATCACGAAGTTATGGTCTTGTGGATGTTCAAGCGTGCATCGTTCATAGGGGAGTATTGAGGGAATGTCGTTTGAGTCATGGTCCCTTGGCTGCAATAAGAATGAGTCAAATCTGTCTGGCCATCAAAGGAATCCAGAAGACCTTGCTTACCAAGCAATAGCATTCACTGCTAATCCAAAAGACATTCTTCTGGAAGACAATCATCTAGGTGATTAAGTTAAGTTTGTCGTCAAACCATTTTTAACACAAAGCGTCATTAACGATGTGTGCCCTTTCTGGCTTGTGGGGCCTGAACCATCTTTTGCCCAAAATGCCAGCACGTGCGCTCCTCTCCTGCAGATGTACGATATTGCATTGGTCTTTTCTTTTCTCTGGACTGTTTTAAAACGCAAGTGATGACGTTTTGCGGGGTGGGGCATTTGTCAGTGTTCTAGATGTCGACTCGATGCGACCTCTCTTGCCCCACGCCACAAGACAAATTCAATGCGTCAGAGGCAATCTTACTGCATTTTTTTTTCCTGTTTTATATCCATTTGGCCGGCCATCTCAAAAATAAAAGATTTTTATTAACACACCGCGAAAATGCTGGTGATGTTGAGCGCTCGTTAATAAGATCGAAGAATAAATTTATGATGAAAAGAAATTTAGAATTTACAAACAGTCCAATGGAATGAGGTCGAATAATTTGAAGTTTTTCTTTTACTTTTTTCAAATCATACGATCTACGCTTTTTGATAATATAAAATAATTGAAAACTTTAAAGTTGTGTTACGTTGATATGTAAATTCACATGTAATTTTTTCACAATTATTTTAAATTTTTATATTACATTGTAAATTTTGAAGGAAAGGTAAGAAAAAGTTACTTTTAACTTTTTAGACTTTTCAACAAGCAAACTGTAATACATTCATACATTCCAAGTAAAAATAAAGGACGGTGCACCTTTTCCAAATTCTACAAAGCATGTGTACGACAACTTGATAAAGGGTCCTCACAGTCAATGCTGATGGCTGAATGGCATGAGTCGATATTTCGATGTTTCTAAAACACAAGATCATGAGTTCAAGCATTGCTCATCAGTAAGTAATCTTTAACCCAGAATTTTGCAAAAGGTGCCATAATAATGTTAGGAGAAAGTAGGGTTCGGAGAAAGCAGCCATGATGGTTGGGCTTCCCAGCTCTTTTGGGGTCATGATATATGGAAAGTTATCTCTAATCTTATACGACAATGCAAAATAATTTGCTTCAAGGTGATGCGTGAAAATATTGAAGTCCTCATTTTTAGATATCTTAAAATCTGGACTTTTTATATTGAATGTGCTTATCTAGAATTATCGAGGCATTCATATTAGGCCTACTTTTTATACGAAAAAAGAGCAATAGCTAACATAATCCTCGGTCCGTCATAATCTGGAATGATCACAATTCTACCATTTTATGTAGCGAGTAATGCTAGAGGTACCAAAAGTCACACACTAAATAGATCTATGAAATTACATAGAAAATAATAAGTGACCATTTAAGTTAGTGGATCCATTTAAGGACTCTAACATTTTATTTTACAATAACAAGAAAAAGATGGTTAGTTTTGGCAATAGGGGAGTTTGTCATTTATTATACCAATCGTAGGTGTGACCTAAATTTCAATTTTTCAACAAAAACTTAATTACAAGTTGCAAAATAGATAATCCCTACAGCTAATAATTAGACAAACTCATAATTCTCGTAAGGCTGGCTACGGAAATTAAATCTAAATCCACAAAAAAGAAAAAAAAAAGACTCCTATGCGTTTCTCTTTGCACTGTATGACCTTGCTTCGGATAGAAGACATTAGTTTGCTTGGAGGTCAAGTTCTCGATTTCTTCTTTGACCTTTAATTACTTGGCATGCGATTAGCACCCGAGCACACGTCAGAAGGGTAGAAAAGAGAGAAGAAAAGCAATTATTAATGATCAATTGGACTCAAATTTCTCGTAGATTATTCAAAAGCTTTTGGGATAAGAATTTTACCATCTAAATTAAGGTTAATGATGGTTTTGTGTATGTGGATTAGGGGCGTAGGGCTGTACATCTTTGATTTTGCTCGTCGCTAAATGCAAACAATTCCATGATTAATTCTCTAAGTTTTGTATATTTACAATTTATGATGCACGGACTTTTTCACCATTTATGTATCAATCCTTTGAAAATCATATTTGTAGATAAATTTGGAAAGAAATATGGGCACTCGACAACAAATCGATTAGCAACATATTAAACACATCCATTAGTAACATATTAAACAAGATTTAAGTCAATATTCAATGCAGACACATTCCTAGTCAGAGGCCACATGGGGAGATGCAACGTGGAAAAAGGCAATTTGATAACTTCAAAGAGTATTACCTTGAAATCGACGAGGATGAGTCTTATGGAAAGAACCATGAAATTGCATTAACTGCCAGAAGGAATCTCACCTTGTCTAGTGATTTGCTCCCATGGCAATCCCTTTGAACCAATAATCAGAAATAAAATATCGTCTCCAATGGCATGAGGATTTCTTAGAATATGTGTAATATAGTAACTTATTTCCAATAATATATTAATATTAACTAAGGAAGTTTAGTAAATATCATGCTAAAAACGTTTTAAGAAAAGCTCTTCTTTATGCGTTTGCAAAACCAAGTTAGTTTAACGTATTCGATGCACGTATACAACGCATGAACAAGGAACTCGCACGTACAACAATGACTCCATGCCTTTATCTTCGCTTCCATCCCCAGAACGAGCTAAAGTTGCAGGCAAAGAGCGAACAAAAGCTAGAAATTATTACGTACATTAGGAGATGATGAACTGTTGATAATCAAACACTATTGCAAAAAATTATTTATTAGTTACAACGTACAAGTATTTCGAATTTGATACAACACTTGTCAAAGGCTTTTTACACCATCACGATGCACAAACACGCACCATTTTCAATATTCTGTATTTGATATAAATATGTATGCTATACTCATTCTCTAATTTTGAGCAGTGAATAGTCTTTTGTTCTCTTTATTTTGGATGTCCTTCTCGTTTTCTTTCATTTTCTTTGTCCATTTGTGGTCCCAGTCAAAAAGCTTCTTCGCCAACACACATGGCTGTGTATGGGCTATGGCTATATAAACACGACACCTCACAATCGCCCTCTCCCAACATTGTCAAACCATCATATCTCTCTCTCTCTCTCTCTCTCTCACACACACACACAGACACACAGACCCATATACACACAAATAGATACACACACAAAGAAGAAAATATGGAGGTTTCAATACAATCAATTGCACTTGCGACGGTTCTGGCCGTCCTGACCACATGGACATGGAGGGTGGTGAACTGGGTGTGGCTGAGGCCGAAGAGGCTCGAGAGGCTCCTGAGACAGCAAGGCCTCTCCAGCAAACCCTACACCTTCCTGTTCGGAGACCTCAAGGAGAACTCACGGTTGCTCAAGGAAGCCAATTCCAAGCCCATCGCCGTCTCCGACGACATCAGTCCTCGTGTCTTGCCTTTCTGGCATCAATCCTTCCAAACCTATGGTATGCACATCTTCATAGTATCTATTTGTGTGGCACTTGTATTTTCTTATTCATTAACACTCACTTGTTTTCAGACCTTTGGTCGATGCTGTTTTTATGAAGTTTTAGGACATTTGAATTTACTGTCCCTCTCTATTGGAAATTCATGCCTCCCACTTTGAATTTTGGCCACCAAAGATGTTAATACATCTCAAGTCTTTTAGATAATTGCTTATTTTAATATGCACACAATATGGGCATTTTGCCATACAAAAGCGAACATTAAATAAAACTCGCATGTGATAATGTTGTTTAACATTAAAATTCTTACCCGGCCATTTAAAAAGATATTTCAATATAGATCGATGAATGATTGATATGTACAAACGCTAGACTATGTGACTGATGTGACATGGCATATAAATTCAAGTCATACCGATTGAAGAATCGTGGAAGTAACATGTTTTGAGGGAGTCAAAGTCATTGTCAAAGGGCAGAGCCCATCCCATACACAGCAATCGCGATGAGCACAACACCCATTGATTTCTGGGA